AGATGAGTTTTCGGGAGGTATTCTAGGCACTAATTGCGAGACTTCTCGTATTGTCCGAGCTATGCCGCGTTCGGGGTGCGGGGAGATGGCTCGCTTTGATAGACGAATACCTTTGACCGGGCTGGATTAGCAAGTATTTCGGGCCAACGCGAAACGTTTCGGTTGCATTTTCTCTGAGCTTCAACTTGATCCTGATCGATGCATGGGTACTTCAAAATAAACGAGTCGGGAAAACCTTTTGGCTCGAATGCTCAGCGGACTGTTAGGGTCAAGCGAGTCGATTAGGGTTCAGCTCCGTGTGGGCACTCATGTCCGCTTGTCGGCCCAAGGGAAATTCCATCAGAGGTACTCTCCGCAGAGAAGATTCCACGGAGAATCCCACCTAACGCTGCTCTCATTCGTTCGACAAGTCAGAGCACTCATAGCGTAGTACTGATTCCAGAGCGTAATGCGTCTTCCCGCAACGCTCGGCTCCGAAAGGAACCGCTTGACGAAAGCCGCGATCTAACTCCTGGGGAATCTGTAACATATTGAATAAAGTGAAGATCGACATGAATGAGACAATCGTCCGGAAATACATGCAGAGGTATACGGCTTCAGAGGATACCCGAGGACAGAGTGCGACCGGATGAAACAACTATCCGAGAGATTTCATACAAGTTTTTCCAGAAGTTCGAGAGACTCACGTCATGTGAATTGCCTCGGCGAGAAATGAGAGCGGAATCGTGGCCGCCTCCAGATTCCGCAAAGATAACCAGCATGGACTATGTGGTCTATGAAATCAAGGGAATGAATGCGTACTAGTATATGTAGCTATGGATAATATGATATGATTGTAATTTTTCAGGTATTGGACTTTGCGGCTATCGAGCAAAGAGTGAGTGCAGCAGCGAGGCGAAACCCGAGCCACAAGTTGCACGGAGTCTAGGATAGGATTCGGAAGCGCGGAGCAGGAATCCCAACGTGCGAGAAATATGAGAGTTGAACAGCTACTTTTTGGGACAGGATTTTTGGACAGAATAGAGGAATCGCCGCTGGAAACTTCTCCAGTCGCATATTCATTATTGACTCTACCATTGATTTTCCATGTGTTCAGATGACTCAAGAATACCGCAAGCAGAGCCATAGCAGTCTCGACGGTTGGACACGCGACGACAGGTAGTCCGAATGGTTCTGTTTCGGAAAGTTGCGGCGAAAGTCGACTTGTTCCGAGCGAGCTCATCTCTCTCGCTGTCTCTTCACTTGGGGCTATTTGTGGCCTACGGCACCGACTCCTTGGTTCCGTAGGTCTTAACTTGTGTCCCCAACACTCTGACGATCAATTTCCATCATGAGCTCTCAGTTTTTGAAATTTCTTCGCGTGACCATGAGAATTCCAACAGCTGTCCGGAAAAGAACCAATCCAATGCGGTCGCCACCAGAAAGATCCTTGTACGTATCATAGATAAAGCACGCTGAAAACAAGCAGATCGACAATTGCTTTTGTTCCAATCTGAGCCATTGTTCGCATTTGTCCTGCAGACTCTATGTCGATCATTCTGAAACTTGTCCTGGGAAAAGAAAGCGAACTCTTTCTCGAGCCGCGATAATCATTCAAATGTTGGCCTGTAGAGTCTCCTTTTGCGCGGGAGGCGACTGAGTTGACGTCGATGGAATCATCCCCCGAAGCAAAAGCCTCAAAACAAAACTCCTGACGACGATCGAGCTATTCCGCAATTCGATTACAACAACACTAATCCGTTCATTCATGGTAAGATGGATGGTGCACAAAGGAAGAACTCCCTGACAAGGACAGACAAGAAAATCTCCCGAAGACTAAAGCCGCGCTCTCCTTGTTGAGGATCTCGATGTCGTGTGGAAGAAAGCAAGAAAAACCTAAAGCTGCCAGTGTAGCAGGCGCTCGTGCCAAGGAAAAAGGTCTCAACGAGACCTTTTCCTATTGGCAGAGTGTTAAGCGCCGCCTCGTAGGAGGTCCCGCGCGATAGCGAACAAATCTCGCTCCGGTCCCTCGGGCCGGCTTCGGAGCCCACAGCCTGAGCACCTTCGTGGATGTCGGTTTCGTAGATTCCTGCCAACCGCGCTCGGAGTAATACACTTACCATTCTGTCTGCCTGTCTCGCGGGCGGTTACCCTGTACCGAATCCTGTCGAGAATCCAGTCAGTGCTGCCATCAACTAATCAAGGTTTTCGCTGTTTGCGGTAAGTTGAAATCAATCTCTATGCTTCGAGGGGGGGAAATCCTCTACAGGCCACCAGACGAGCGCGGCTTCGGCTTGGCGGCGAGCTGCGGAATTCCTCAGTGATGGACGTAGTAAAATTTGTGTATGTATTCTCTTGGGATCGACACATAGCGATGTCGGTTCGGCGCAGACTGTCCCATCCTGTCACTCTCAGTTACGTCTCATGATTCAACGTGACAGTTGACCGCGGCTAGAGAGCCTCGAAGAACGAACCGCCGCAGGGGAGGCAATTTTTTAGTCAAGTTCCAATTTTCCATCCTCGGAGTTAAATCTCTCAAGGGGGACGCGTACAGACTCCACCCGATTCATGAGAAATCGCTTTGTTGTGAGCTTCCGTCGAAGAGAAAGAGCGGTAGAGCTCATAGTACGCTGTGCACAGGTGAAGAATTCCTCGACGTTCTCGCGAGACAGTTAACGACAACAAAACATCGGCGATGGAGTTGTATCCGGTCAACCGGTTTGTAACTCTGGCCGGATGTCTGCTTCCGAGCGGATCCGCTCAGGTTGAATCGGTGAATCCCGCCGGAGAGGTCACTGGGTGAAATCAAGATCATTCGGAACAGCACGATCCAGCAGCGGCAAGGCAACGGCAGAAGATCCGGTGGGGCGATCCGATCGGGGCGCGCCCCATTCCAGCCTAGCCTTGTTTGAGTGGTCACATTGCTCGCTACCTGTCATGCCGATGATTCTCTGCTTGAAAGCCAAGCGGTACTCTTTGAATCTCTCGGGAGAGAGCTCCGATTTCGATTCTTTAGATCGGGGCTTCCGAGAGAGCCGGGGGTTCAGCTCGTTAGGAACTTCGAGAATAGCGCGCAGCGTTTTCAAGTTCACGGAAACCTCCTGAGATCATTCGGTGCGCCCGGGAACTTGTCGGTAATCTTTTTTTGCCGCATGTCGGTCCGTGACCGAAGCAGAGCAAGTTTCGCTTTCGTTCGGTCCCACATTGCATCTGCCGCATGTTATTCGGTCATCTGCAGCTGGTGCCGTGGCCTCGAAATGTTCTACTCGAAAAGACGAGACTGAAGAGCCTCTGCACGAGTCAAACCCGTTAGCTCTCTAACCCTGGTCGCGCGATCTTACTAGATGCTGTGAGTGAAAGAGTTTTGTGTTGTATAAGCCCGTCTGGTGTCTCCAGATGTCCACACTTTCACCCTGCGGGGGTTCGAACGAGCAAACTGGCTAGCTAGGTGACTGACTGACTGACTGACCAGAAGGTCGTCCGATCTCTACGACCGCCAGCCAGCCAGACTTACGAAAAACCCTTTCAAGACAATATGGTTCGAGCAAAGAGCCTAAAAGTTGCTGCAGGAGAGCCTGTGGCGCGTGCATCTCTCGATCGTGTGTTTCAAGCTCGCAGCACGAGAACGAGACACTCGAGAGACACCGGGAGAAATCGGCGGAAAATTCACCCCGGTGTACAATATCGCCGAGAAGAGATCGTCCTGTCTCGACGTATATTCAGTTTTCTAAAAAAAAGATAGACCCCCGATATTGAAGATGAGCAGTCCCTGCGCCTCCCCCGTCCGAGGGAAGTTGCGGGGGAGGCAGATTCCCGAGCAGGCATCTGAATGATATCAGAAGTTGCTGCATCGGGAGCTGCAGTAACTTATGAGCGAATACAATAGAAGCTCGCGAATCGCGAAGCCTCCTGGACGTTCCACCCGGATAGGGCCCTTCTGAGACTTTTTGCTTGAAAATTTTCTGTACACACTCTCGGCATTTCCCTCGTCAAAACTGAGTGTACTGCTTGGAGACCGCTGTGCACGAATTGCTCGGTGAGAGCCAATCAGGGCGCTCCGACTTAACCCTCTCTCAAGGGTTGAGACCGCCAGAGCCAACCCTTCTCGATCTTCGCGGCTCCTACATATAGAATCGTCCTTCGTTTTGTGCTTTCGTTACCTCCTGCAGGCAGGAGACAAGTTCGCATCAAGTTGCCGGACCGGCCTTCGCTCACAACAAGGGAGCCGTGGTGTGTCATCGTGCTCGGTATGATCGATGAAGCTCGCAATGACAAAACAATCCAGGATTTTTATGCTGCGTGCTTCTGCTGTACACATCGTCGCTCCTATCGGCTTTCATAGATGTCAAGTATCGACGACGAGTGTCGCAGACCGATCGAGGACAGTGCTCAGTGAAAGTGTCCAAGCAGTTTTTTATACGATCGTGAATGATGGATAAACGAATGTGCACCCCATCCGAACAAGTGTCGAAGAGAATTGCGCGACTCCAGATTATTTCGTCTTTGCTCTTGAGATTGGCACGAACATCTATCCGGACTCGGTCCTCGGACATTCTTACGGGTAGCGAACGTTCGAACCGACGTTGACCGGAGATCTTTTCAAGGGTCCTTCCGCTTTTCCAATATGCCGTGCCCGGAGTTTTTGGATCCGGGCATTAGAGCGTCCGAGTCGAATTCGATCATCGTGACAGCAACTCATTGACCGCCGTCTCATCCCGATGCGCTGACGATCTCTTTTCTCGGAAGATCTCTATTCTGCTCAAGAAACGCGAATTAGATCGACTAATGAGGACACCGTTTGGAGTGTGCTCGCCGTGCAGAAGCCGATTTAGGTACAGAATCGACTCGGTGTTCCTGTGGATTTTACTGACCTTTGGTTGCATTGCTCTTTTCTAGGGAACGAATCGAAAATGTCCGAATCGAGCACATCGATCGCCACAATGTGGAATCCTGTCGGATTACCGAACTCCATGTACTCGCTCGCTCATCTGCTCGGCCACGAAGACGGAGCCGTCGCCCGCATGTACAAATGCAATCTCTGTAACGTCGAGTACAACAACAGTGTCGATTACGAAGCGCATCTGAAGACACATTTCGACCATCGGTGTCCCTTCTGCGATTACGTCTCGAAAACGGAGGGCCGATTGAAACGACACGTGAAAGACCTACACGACCCGCCGGACGACGCTGTCGACTCGACGAACGGTGAGCAGTTCTCCGAGAGCGACGACAGCTCCCAGCAGAATTCGCAAAGCAACTTCCAGCTCAGCCCTCAGAACAGCTCCCAACACTCAAACAAAAGCGGTCGTGATAAGCCTCGAGTGTGCAGATGCAAGCATTGCGGATTCGTGTCCGAAACGAGGGTGGAGTTCTGGGAGCACGCCAAGAAGCACATTCGAGAGGGCAAGGGTCTCGAGTGTCCACAGTGCCCCTTCGTCACGGAATACAAGCACCATCTGGAGTACCATCTCCGCAACCATTTCGGCTCGAAGCCATTCAAGTGTCACAAGTGCAACTATAGCTGCGTGAACAAGTCGATGCTGAATTCCCATCTGAAATCGCACTCGAACGTCTACCAGTACCGTTGCAACGACTGCAATTACGCCACGAAGTACTGCCACAGTCTGAAGCTGCATCTTCGCAAATACAACCACCAGCCTGCCACGGTTCTCAATCCCGACGGGACCCCGAACCCGTATCCTATAATCGACGTATACGGAACACGTCGCGGCCCTCGGCCCAAGAAAAACCCAACGGCGTCGACGCAACAACAAATAAGTCCCGTACAGTTGGCTTCGCCTGAGCTATTGCCTGCAGCGGCCGCTGAAACTCCATTCGCGATCGCCAGACCGGCTTGGCTCAATGGCTTGTCTCTGAACGCTTTGCCGATGTTCCAGTGGGCGATTCCGGTGGAAATTCAACGCGCCCTACTCGAACAGGCGGCAGAGAGGGGTCGTGAAGGACAGGACAGAGTCAGCGTTGACGGAGACGAGATAAACATCCGCGAACGGGTGGAAGACATGACCATTAAAGAAGAACCCGAGGATTGGGGCGTCGAAGCTCCGCTCGACCTCAGTCGGAGTTCGCCGCACTCACCCGCGTCCACCAGCGGTACCCCGGCGCAAACGACGCCCGTGGAGTTAAGTTCTGCAAGGCGGAAAGGCCGAGCCGTAAAGGTAGAATCTTTCCGCTGCGATTTCTGTCAAATGGACTTCAGAGACCAGGAGATGTTCCTGGAGCACATGAATTACCACGGAATCGACGATCCCTTCAAGTGTAAGGCTTGCGGAGAACAGACGACCGATCGATTGAACTTTTTTCTTCACCTGAATCGAAATCCTCACACGTGAAGAAGAAATTCGATGGAATCTAAAACTAGTCAAACATTGTGACCTGCCGTGAGAGTTCGAGGAGCACGGCTGCTTTCGGGGCTGTTATCGGAGGAAGATCCCGTCGAATTAGGTTGCCGCACGTATTCAGCGCTGGGGTCCTCCGGAGAGCCAGTATTCACCGTTACGTGATTCTTCCGTCGACACTAACTGTGCACGGCCAATCATGATGACACCCGAAAACCATCGATCCGTTTGTAATTTATTCCGCGGTGCCATTTTGAGAAGGGCTCATATTCATCACCAGAGGATCGGCGCTTTCGAGGGAACCTTAGGTTTGAGTTCTCTGGCTGAAAATTCGTTCCTCGATTTTGGGAGACAGTGGCTTCCCATTCCGTGGGGAATCGGGGTCTCTCATCTCTTAGAGATTCGGCATCGGGGAATCGCACAGGACTCGAACCAGCGACTGCCGCTGAATTCAACGTCGGTCAGATCGGAGTAGAGCTGAAAAAATGCGCGCGCCGACCCGACCACTCGGCTATGCGTCCGCCTAAGTCACGTTGTTCCAGGATGGAGCAAATACTGTAAAAAAGATCTCCGAAATGATCTCCTTAAGCCGATGCGAGAGATTTCCTCTTGGTGCAAGCCGCGGCCTTCTTGTGAGTCTCATGATCAAAAACCGCTGCTCCCTGTCCTTCGAGGGAGTGGGACCAAGTATTGTAACACATGAGCCAGGCGCGTTGAATCAAAGCATCTGAGCGCGTAATCAAAAGTTTCTACGGGAATTTCGCAGCCTCACCCGCTGCCGTCGATGTTAAGAGCTAAGGCTTCCTTGGAATGTTTTCGCCGCTTCCCCCTGATAGGCATGCGGGGAGGGAAGTTCCCACCGCTAATTTATTGAGTAGAAATTAGGTAGACCACAGCATATGACGTTGTGTACGAGGAGATAATAGAGACGATAGTGGATGTGTAATTGTAATTAGCAGCTAGCTCCTCCCCTACCTCACAGACTGGAGGCGAGCGTTGCTTTTATGTTGATGATGACTTCTGACGGTACACGTGTATATGGAAGATTGGCGCTCGTTTCGCCCGAGTGGAGTGTAAGAAAAATAAAATTTAAAAATACCGTAGAATTATTGAATCTACTGAAAACTCAGGTTTTCCCTCGAATGGAGATTTTAATTCTCTAACATTGAGTCTCAGGTCGTCAGACCGCTCGAAGGTCCCGGGGAAAATCATTCTCTGCAGTGTTTTTCATAATTTATCCAGAACAAGGCGGATCTCGAGCTCGTGTCTAGGCCTCCGTGGCTTCGAGCACTGTTCTATTCGAAACAGAGTTTTCTGATGTGCTGCTGTGCTTTTTACAGCGGGGCCCCTCCTCGCGCTCGTTCGCGAGCCGAAAGAGCCCGAACGAACTCTTTGAGCCCAAAAAATGCCAGCCATCCATCCATTCTCCAGAATAGACGCGCGCCGGTCGGTCCGCTTGCTCCTCATTCATGTGCCTCTTTTCGGCGATCGTCTAGCCTCTAAATATAGGGAAAAGGAGGCTCCCGAATGAAAAGCTCCGCGTTTAGTCGAAAGTAGTTAATTCCATGCTCGTTTTCGCGTGCGGCGACCGAATTTTTCTGTTTGCTACAGCGGGACAGCGATGACGCCTGAAGGGCTCCGCCATCGAGTCTCAATCGGCCGAGCGCTCAACGATCTTCAGGCAGGAATTTCCACGGTCCTCGACGCAGACTCGGTGGCAACAGCCCGAGCGCCGATGCTGAAGAATTGAGCGAAAATTGTTTATCTCCTCTGTTTCAGGTTTGCGGCATGAGTTATGAAAGGCGGATTCGGACGCGAAACCGCAAATGAATCTTTTTTTTTGAAGAAACCCATTCTCTCTGACTGAGAGGTTTTTGGGGAAGTGTTCATCATCAGATTCAAACAATTAATCAGAACTGCTTGCAGTACGGCAGAATCTGTCCCCATCGCGTTGTCGTTTATTCTGCTGGTCCGTAGATTCGTCGATTTCTCCGAAGGCTTTCATCAATCAACGAGGTCCGCTCGGGCACTCCAACGGCACTCAGAGGTCTCCCACCCACGTGCACTTCGTTCGCCCAAAACGAACGGTCACTATCGATTCGGTCACCGAGATTCTCATGCGTCAAATCATCGGCCTAACCAAACGGAACGTCCACCGCGATCGGGTTAGAATCGTGAGATGGTCAGTCTCGCCGACTGGAAAGTACCATCTCTCAGTCGGTCGGATCTTGTCGACGAGCGACCTCACTCAGCTGGACTAACGAGCACGTGCACAAAAAAGGCTCGCTGTCTCCTCAAATGGTTGGCATTCTTCTCCCTGTGACTTCAGAGGCTTTTCGGACTGGCCTCTCGTCCATTGATTCTCCGGTACAATAGCGTCGACGCATCGATGGGAATGGAGAACCGACGAGAGCAAGTCAGTATACTCGAAAAGACCCGTCGTTTTTTAAAATGATTCCCCGAACTGACCAGTGGCGATCTTGGCTGGCCGAGAGCTGACTGACCCCGGTGACGAAGGCTGATTGAAGACGAAAAACCGCAGTTATCCCGTAGGAACCCAGCGGGTTCCTTGAAGACTTTCTGCAAAGCTCGGATTCCTCAGCCCACTCTGAGTCCTGTATTCGCGGACAACCGCAGCCCGGTACACTAGCCTAAACCTCAAACCGACATTAAAGCCCCTCTTTGTGATTTGTTCATTTGAAGATTGTAAAAAAAAACGAGTGAATCCCATCGATGGAGCCGATGGACATCTCTTCATCGAACATTTTTTAACCACGCCCACTCCGAGAATAGAGCAGGAGCCTAACCGCTCTCGAAACCCCAATTCACAAGAACGCGTGGACTCTAAATTATGTTGAACTCGCGCTCTTTAGATCCGGAGCCGCGCTTCATCCGGGATTATGCTTTCCGGGGAGTTCCGGAACCAGCCCGAGGATAATGAGTTCCCTCGCGTAATATCAAAACCGCATGAGGAGACGTCGCGACGCATGAATATACCTGATATTCTATCGGCGACAAGCTCGCGTGTTGTCGTCGAGAGCTCTCCGATCGAACCCCTCCATCTCTCGAGAGCTCTTTGCTAGAACTCGCGTCCGTTGACGAGCGGAGATTCCTCGGAGAAAGTAGGATTTTTTTTCTCCGTGGTATAACAATAGAGAAAAAACCGATAATCGACAAAACACTCTCACGATCGGCTAGAACCGGATTCGTGGAGGTGGATGACGACAACGGCGACAACTGACCGGCCGAACGACTGGCTGCCTGCCTACAACAGAGGGCGATCATACAGTTCCATTCTTGCACTTTCGCTCGAACCATTCAAGCCATTGTAACACTCCCGGTCAATCGGCCGGTCGCTCGTCGTCTTCTGGTGCTCAGATCGGCGCTCTTCGGTCAGACGAATAGGGTTGAGTACTCGTCCAGCTGGTCGACAGCTTGTGACCGAAGCTTCTTGCTCCGGCCTGCTTAACGTCTTCTGTTCTTTAGCAGATGATTTCACCGGAACTCGTCGCTACAATACAGTTATTCGACCTCAATCTGAGTGAGACGGTCTCCTTCCAGTCAGGACATTTCTGTTCTCGCTTGCTCGTACATGCATGTCGCGCAACGATGCTTTATCCAGAGTTCGATCTGAAAACACATGGAGCCAAGCGCTTTCTCGGGACATGCACGTACGGAATGCTTAAATCGATCCAAAATCACGGAGCGGGGCAGCTAGGCTTGTTTAGTGGGCAACAGAGTTTCGACATTGAACAGATCCGAGTAATCAAATACTTTACGTACAATCGACATCAAAATCGGCTGCTCCATCCGGATTGCTCGCTCTTTATGGGCTTGACCGGAGTGTCTTTCGGAACAACCTCTGATCTGTCCTGGGCTAGAAGAGCAGACAGAACGAGCAGGACAGACGGACGCTCATCGTTCCGATCGCGAGCGGGGGGCTCTTTCGGTGCGTCTGGAAAACAGCGAAAGGCTTCTTCTCGGATTCGACCCTCTCTGCTACCCTTCTGTTTGTCTGGCTGGTCGGTCGGTCGAGTCTACGGTCGCATGTATGCGAGCGCGTTGGCACGCGCCGCCTCAGTGAATATACTACTTTCTGTAGGGTGTTACGCTTCTAGACATGAGCCGCACGCGATTCTCTCCCGGTCGAATGTTATGTCTATCCGAAAGATGGATCAGAGGGGGAGAGAGGGGTAGGATCCATGCCGCGAATGGGTAGTCCGGATTCCCACAGTCTCATGATCATGACTCCTGTAAGTGAAGTTTGTGAGTTTCCGGTACTATCCGAAAGTCTTGTTCGCTCTCCTCTCTCGAAGCCCTTAACGCGAAATTGAAAAACTCACTCGGAACAGTATTCGGAGATTCTCGCTTGCGGGTTGGGCCCAGGAACTTTAGGTCTTGTTGGAAACTTCGCGGTGATTCGATCGAGATTCATAGCTTCCGAGCGAGAGTCGATGTTTACTCTCATAGTAACAAATAACCGATAGACGGTGGCTGGTAACAGCGGCAACACCTTTCGCCGAAGCTGTCGGAATCGCAGACGTCAGCCCAAACCTTCTTTTGCTTCCCGACTCGATTCTTGAATTCGCTGAAGCGGTCCGTCAGGAGTTGATGCGTGGCGTTCGGGAAGGAACGTCGCTGTGATTTCTCTCGGAATATCGAAATTATCATCATCCACTTTCGTGCCTGTCCCTGTCGTCTCCCGATCCCAATTGGGCGCCAGGAAGAACGCGCCATCATGTCATCACTCGAACTCCCAAACCATGGTCAGATAGCGTAGGACCGTAGGATCACGCAGCATATAGCGGCTATTGTCGTAGGGAAAAAATGCGAATCATCGGCAACACTTCCCAATCTATACCCTCGAGACGACCGCCTCGATGCAGCTTGTACTCGAGACAATGTGGTGGACTCGAATGCAAGGGGGAGGGGGAGGCTCTGATCCCGATGAGGATCGGGGAAGGGTTTAAGCCATTCGTTTGACCTGAGTGTCGGATAACACGTCGAAGGCTCAACTAGAATCAACTCACACAAAAAACAACACCCACTCGACACCTCGTCCAAGCAGATGGAACTGGCATAGAGGTCCAACAGCCGTCGGCGATTAAGACTTGTTGTCCTCGCTCACACCTACTCCAACCCGGGCACTGCGTGCACCATGTCTTAATTCACTGACGGTCGAGTGGTTCGGGTCTCTCCTCGCTAAAATATCCCTCCGTCGAATGAGTTTTGCATCTTATTCGATTCTCTATGTCGTCCCGAGAGAATTACCCAGCCTCATCTGCGTAGATCGAACAAGAATTTCCAAAACTTCCTTGAGTCATGTCGACCTGAAGAGTCTGGAGGGGACTATCCGTTGCTTCGATCGATCTGAATCATTCCGCATCCTTAAGGAAGCCCGCTTGACAAACGCCAGCGTCGACCTGGGGAGAAAAATTATTCCGATGAACATTTCAAGGGAAAATCGCAAATGAGAGTGGCAACCCCGAGACTTGCCGGAGGCGCCCTTATACATACGAGTATATGGACATTCAGAATCACAATGTGTTGGCTCCGGTAGAAAATCACAGGAACCTCCCGGGGTCGGGATGACTGTTTTATTGCTCTGGTCGTCCTCGCGACCGTCCTCGCAGCAGCAGCAGTAGACTGGTCCAACCCGTTTGTCCGTTCGTTCGTTCGTTCGTTGTTCCGCTCGTCCATTCGCTCACTCAAGGGTCTGACCCAGCGATATATCGCCTCATTCTCAGCAGCGAATATACCAACAGCGGAGCGGATCTCTATGACCAGACAAGCATGTCAGTTTACGGAACAACAATCAAACGACACACTGGTTCGACTCCGACACGCGCCCCGTCTCCTATGGAGGCGGAAAAAGAATTCGATTGAGCAGCGGTACCATATTGGAAGCGCACATCGATCGCGGAGAACCTCCGATGCCTGGAGAGATTCAAGTTCTGGAATTCCGTCGACGAACAAACGTACTCGCTGTCAACTCGTATGGTTCAACCGGAGTTTGCTGCCATGCTGGATTTGCCAGACTTGTCAGAGCCGAGTTATTTATTTGAAATTTCCACTTCTCAGCTTCGCAACACTCAACTTAATCTGCTCGACAATGCAGTCGATCTGCCGATCCGCACTTTTCGACACTGTACTCTATGTTTGATACAGTCATGGTACTGGTCAGCACCAAGCTCTCGAAACGACGTCTTTCTCTGCTGCGATGCGATCTCACGGATGCGGACGAGCTCGTAGGGCGAATTATAAACGTTCCTCTTAACACACTCATCAAGGCGACCGCAGAGCCCGTTCGTAGAGAGGTGCTGTGCGGAGCGATTCCCTCAAACGGTGAGCATGATCCGTCGGTCGACGAAGACACCGATCGAATGATGGAGATCATTCCGCATTAGTGAGAAGCCGGATCGTCGATGTATCCTCCGAAAGCGACTCATTCGCCAGAAAAAACAACAACTTGCTGCCGGACATCATGAATGGAATTTTGAATGTAGAGAGCGCGGAGTTCTGATAAGTCCGAGTCTCGACTCGCTTTTGATCGGTCCTTGCACAGATCATCCGCGACGAATTATGCCGCTGCACCGACGGGAATGCCCTCGATTCGGGGGAAACGGAATCTCCGAGCCGAGGATCTTGGACAGGAGTATTGTCTGGAGGAGTATCGCCCTCAACTTGCGTAAAGCTACAATCCACTATGACCGCGACGACGGGTGCTCTGGTGGTACACGAAACCGAAAGGCGGTCGCCATCAATCATGACAGGGTCTATCCAGGGAGGATCGTTCTTGCTGCCTTCACACATCCTGTCTATACGAAGGAGACTTATATTTGTATATATAGATGGTGGTGATCTATATAGTGGTTTATACATGGTGATCAACCAACCAGAGTCCTAGCTAGATGTCCGAGATCGAGAGTCCCCTACGACAGAGGAACCGAGTTTGCCTGGAACAAGATATCCGAAAAGGTGCAAAGTCTCCCCGATACTCGGCTTGTGAAACTTTCCATGCCCACACGAAAGGCGAGCGATTCGAGTCGCCAATCCCCGAGAGCGCTCCCACTCTCCTTATTAAACTCCTCCACATTGGCCTGGATTGATAGGGCCCCGTGTACTTATGCATGAGCTTCAAAACTGAGGACGCATCGGAGATATCTGATCTATACCCGCAAGTGACGTGGGTTCATCATGATTTAGGACTCCGACGAAATTCGTCACGAGCATGCTTTATTGTAGCAGTCGTTGCTGATCATCCGTACCCATCCTTTGTAGACAACTATGTTCGCGATCGTGGATTAAATGACGGTGAATCGATATACGGAGGGGGAAAATGAAAACTGATTCCTCACTGGATCCATTGACTACGCCGATCGCGCCTCGGATTCTTGTCGCCGACTTTCTGTCACGTCGTCATCAGACGCGGGGGGTGCGACGTTCAACTCACTCAATATCCGCGGGGGTATCCTTGATGTGTCGATACCGATTTTTCTCGCGAGGTCCAGACATTCCTGGGCGGCTTTGAGATCTTTTCTCTCAAAGAGTTCGAAAACTGTGCAGACGAGCGCCTTCCTACGAATTTCTACATTATCGGTGAATCGTAAGACCTGGTCAAGAATCTCCCTGTTGAAGGCGCGCTTGATTTTTGGCGCGATCCGATTGCGTTCCAGGTACTCCATCAAAGATGGATACTGTCGCTCGAGATCAAGTGCTTTCTCCGAGTCGTTTGTTGCGATGTACAGATACCAAAGCTGTGCTAATAGGAAGTTATCCTGCACCGACTTCGCAAGACGATGCGCCTCGCTCGTCAAACGATCACGGAAGTTAGGATCTGTGAAGGTTTCCAACGATAGATGGAGATGATTGTAACCCGGCTTCGAGCTCTCAACTTTATCCAGGTATTCTCCGAATTTGCCCACGTTGTAGTACGCGTCTTGAAGGGCACCGGCACCGATCGTCCTGCCGGAAAATTCGAAGAAAGACTCGATCTCCTCGACCATTCCTTTTGACGCCGCCGCGCGCAGGAGTCTGCGAAGTGCCTAGAACGTGGATATCGTATTGTGAGATCGCCGACCGCGAGTATCGCGGGCATTGAAATGAGTACCTAACCATGAAGAATAAGATGCCGACTATCATGATCCAGGCGTTTTCCTACAAACTTACGATTAGTTGACGGAACTGCTGTGTCGACAGAGTCTTCAAGTCTCTCGCAACTTCGAACGCCTCCGCGAGCCTCCCGGCGTCCGTGAGCGCGGTGATGAGAGCCATAGAGTCTCTGAAGCTCAGAGTCTTTTCCTGAGCCTTGAGTTCATTCCGCATACTGAAGGCCTTATCCAGAGACCCGCTCAAGATCCGCTGGAAAACCGTATTTTCAGGACTCAAGCCTCCGAGACCTCCCTCATTAGATGGGACGACGAAGGGTACTTCTTGACCATTCCTCTCGAGCATGTTCGCTAGGATCTGGAGCGCCATCGGGAGCAGGACGATGTTCTCTTCCTGCGATTCAGTCCAGATGTCCATGGCGGCTTTTACATCGTTGGTCCTGTTCAGCTGTTTGATGCGATACAGAGCGGCAACGTCCCTCTCCACGTTGAGCTCGTCCATCAGACCGAACAACCTGTCCAAGCAATCTTTCTTGTTGTCGTTAAGGTACGTGTTGCACGCTCTCATCAAACTCGCTTTGGCACGCTCACCGCGACACCGGAGCAGCGTTGCTTTGGCTTCGTCGATCTTGTCGCACTCCAGATAGCAGAGGACCATGTCCACGGAGCAGTCCGTTTGTCCGAATATGCTGGTGATGACGCTCATGAGGGCTTCCAGCTCTTCGGTCTTGTTCTCCTGAATGAGACGCATGCAGACCAGTTTCCTGCACGGCGCACTGCGGTACCTGTACGCGGTCTCCTTGATGAGCTCGAACGCTTTCGAGAGATCCTCCTCCGCGAAGCCTCTGATAACATATCCGAACACTTCGGTGACCGCGGACCGGGAGAAATATTTATCGAAGAAATTCAAGGTCTCTTCTGCCCCCTGTTTTTTGGTCAAGGCCTTCATCAGCTGACCGATTTCTTTCCACATGAGGTGCTCGTCGGAAACCACTGACAAGCTCCGAGAGTATTCGTCGAGCAACGCTTCTGCCTCGGCAACCCTCGACTGTTCTACGAGCACGCTCGCGATCTGGAGAACCCGTCTTGGATTCACTTCGATTTCCTTACTGTTCGCCTCCGACAAGTAGTGCAGTGCGCGTTCTGGATCCATCAGGTGGCAGTGGAGGGCTACGAGGTGAGAATAGTTGGCTCCTGTCAGTCCGTAACGTTCCAACTTCGGCAATACCTCGTCGACCTTCTCCAAATTACGCTCCCTGCAATAAACCGTCAACAGCCGCCGCAGAATGCTCGCTGAAACTCTGTCGCCTCTGTCGGCTCTGAGGGCAAGAGCTTCCAGATCTTCGTCGTGAGTGTCGCTCAATATATGGTAATCATAGTCGGGCATGTCGACGACGTTGCCACGCAGACACTCGACGTTGACGCCCCTAGCTATCAGGGAGCGGAACCTCCTCGAGCTTATTGGTAGTTGAGTGTGCGAGAGGGCTTCGATCGCCGCCTCGTCGCTCGCGTTAGAGATGAAGGTACCCACAAGGTCTGGCTGAGGCCGCTCATCGGCGCAGATATTCACCAACTTCTCAAGAATCTTGATGGAGATAGGAATATTCTCTTCAGTGACCCTCGATGCCAGAACCGCCGTCAACCTCACCCCATCTTGGATGGATGGTCTCGCCTGCAGAAGCTCTTCTGCTTCTTCGAAACGATTCCCCTTCAGCAAATTAAAAGCTACGCAGGTCGTAGCTAGCTTGGCTGGAACGCCCGCTTTCTCCAATTTCTCGAGAACGCCGTTAACGTCGCTGAAATCCAATCTGGGAGCCACGAAATCGACCAGGGTGTCGAAGTCGAGGCTAACCCCGGCCGATACCATGCGCGACAAGGTTTCGTATACTGCGGCTTCATCTTCCGCCCGGCACAGGGCCGGATAAAAGTAGTGGGACCGCATTGGGAAGCCGAGCTCCTTCAATTTGGCGAGGAAATCCTCGGCGCGAGCCGTGTCCTCACCGTAGATGCCGAAACGCGCCGCTTCGATGAAAGCCGAGGTCTCGGTCTGTTCCCTCAATTCCTCGAATACCCTCGTCACTTCGGAACAGCTGTAACCGTTCTTGGCAGCCGTAACTGTCAGGAAGTTCGCAGCGTTGAATTTCCCGTCGGCTATAGTTTTCTTTCTGTAAACATATATGGCCGCGTCGAGGTTTCCGGCAACGATCAGCTCTACACACACGTTGTTGTAGCTTGTGAAGTTGAACCTCGGGTCACTTATCCGCTTCAGTAATTTGTCGCACGAGTCGAAGTCGTTACGCAGGGCGAGAGATTTAACGAGTCGCAAAATTTGTTCGTCCGACAGCTTTTGGCTGGATACGGCTTCCAGACCGCTCGCCGAGTCACCAGATTCTATAAGTGCTTTGGCTAGGACGGTGTGTGTCTCGGCGCTCGGTTTCACTCCTGCGGATGTCATAATGCTCAGGATGTTGCGAGCGCTGTCGACGCTACCGGACTTCACGTAACCGACGATCAAGGAATGGAAAACTTTCTCGTTCAGAGGCAAGTTGCGTGACTTCATGAAGTCGATGATCTTCGTGGCATTCGGGACGTCTCCCATCTCGCAGTACCGCTGAACGAGTCTTTGGTACGTGATCCGATTCGCCGCTACTCCGGCCTCGGCGAGTTCCTTCAGAAAGTCCGACGGATCGAAATCTTCGCCGTTCTCCAGCTTAACCTGAAACGACAACGCACGAAAGTCAGAGGCTTTCGGGGCGCGGAGCTCAAGTCCCCTGTCGGGTCGATGCACTCGATCGAAACAGTTAGAATTAGGAGAGCAGAAAAAACTCATCAAGATTTGAAGGTCGTCTTGGAAAAAGGGAACGAATTCCCGGAGTATGGAATGACACGGAATTCATCGTACGTATAGCAGTGTGTTGTAGTGGGAGATATCCAATTGATCCTTGGGCGTGAGATTCCAGATTCGCTCCGCTAGATGTACGCGTTGCGCGGGTGGCATTTCTCGGAGGAAACTTCCTGTGGCCCGCAACAGAAGTTGCATCTCAACTCCTCGGAGCGATCCTGTGGAAATCGACGGGAATGAGCGGCCGATGAAAAGCTGCGCATAGTCAGAGGTCAGACGGTATACTGGTCGGATGGGTTCCCTGGCCATACGGAGCTTGGATCCATTCGGCTGAAGGCTCCGGCAAGGCTTGGGGAACCTAGAAGGACACACACCGACTCCTACTCGCGTCGAAACTCCTCTCACCCTGTTTCTCGGCATGTGTGAGAGCGTCTTCGAGCGTCCTCTCATAGATTCTGCCTCGACGTTGAACTTGTTCATTTAGTTCTCGCAGAGCCTTCTGCATACCCGCCTTAGGCTCATTACTGGCCCATCGCATATCTTCGAACGTTTTCCTATCGTTGTCTCCATATTGCGACTGGAACCTGCAATGCGCCGGTCGCTCAGATCTTCCCTCCTGCTAAAATAGCTCACGGGAACGGACGCCGGCTTCCTGGGCGGCACTCGTAGGCAAAACTCACAGCGAGGGCTCCGAGATGGGGCTCTCGGTGATTGCCGGACTCAGAGAATTCTGAGCGTAAATAATGGAATGATCGACATCGTCCATTCGCGCACCACGACGACTCACCTCAGAGACGCTTGCGAAAGGGGAGCTGAGCTGTTAGGAATGGCGATCCGCATGCGATGGATCGCCGGCCGATTCCCCATGTAGAGGAGCCGCGATAATAGGGACATTCCGACGGTATTCCTAGGTCGCTCCGGTTGAAGTTTCAAGAAGAGATCGAATTCACGTGCGAAATCCTCGGCGACCCAGTAAACATTTGGTTAGCAGACGCCTATCGTCGGCGTTTTCCACGCGCAGAGGGACACACCACACTCTCCCCCTCGCGCGCTGTGGTGCCGCGCCGCTCATTCCCTCTCTTCGCTGGGAGGAGAAGCCTCACTCGGAGCTCGCGGTTCGAGGAAAAAGGGGCTCTCAAGCAGATATCCTTCTCTCCTCGGACCCACTCGCGGAGAGAACGGGAACGCTTCAATTTCCGAGGTCTCCGGAGACATCTGTTCCCGATGCCAATGAATCACTCCGGGAAAAACCAAATACACTGGGGGAATATCGAAGTCTTTCTGAGTTTCATCCGAATATCCTCAGCTCCGTGATATCCAGCTTCTTCCCACCCCTCTATCCCGAAAGGGTTCGTGCGATCAAGGGGAGCATTCTCACTATCCTTGCATCCCCCACCTGGAGTTCTCCCTCACCGTAGATCTAGACAAGCGCGACGGTCGGAAGTTAAGAGGTTCGAGCTCTGGAAGTCTGAGGATGGATCACAGCTTCCCGGAGAGCTGAGATCTGATGCACCGCAATGGATGAACCGTTTCTGACTTCTGCGGGGTCTCGGAAGCGGATCCCTAAGCGGGAAGGGGGTCATTGGATGCTTCCCGCCGCTCCATCCTCTTCCGATGGTGACAGGCCCCTCGGCGTTCGGCTGTTCTTCACCTATCAGTCTTTTTCCTCCGAATGACTCGGGGGAGATCGAGGGGACTTGAACTTTAGGTTGAGCCCCCTCGGCCACCACACATCAGTCGAGAGGCTGTGTGTCTGCATCCTCAATGATGTTACATTCATCGATTCTCTTGAATGACCATAGATTGATGAACGAGAATTGTGATGTGTAGATTAGACTCCAGCGCACCCTGCAGGGTTCTGGAAGGAGTGTGCAACCCTGGCTTCGCGAGAAAAAATGCATTTCAAATTCAATCGACGATGAATGGCGAAGACTTCCTCGAGACCAAGCAGGGCTAATCGAGAAGAAACACTTAGCGGTAACCAGAAGAAGTTTATTGTAGTCTGATTTCAAGAATCGAAATGCACAATTCTTCGCTTCATTCTTTCTTCGTTTCTTCGGGTTCGGGTTCGGCTTCTGCAGGCTTTTCCGGTTTCTCTTCACCTTTCTGTTCTTTCTCTTGCTGTCTCTGGAGACGACGTTCGAGTCGCTCCTTGTCGATCTGTTCGAAAAGCTTCAAACGCTCCATAGCAGCTTCGATATCCTCTGATGACAGGTTGTATTCCTGTTCGAGATGTTTGAATGATTCATCATGCCTGTCCTGCAACTGCTTAGAGCGACGTTGTGAAGACTCCTCCACAGCCGCAGAAATTTCGGTCATGAGACTTTCATCGAACATCGCTTTCATGAGTTCAGTTCTCTCCGCGAGGAGTTTCTTGATCTGCTCGCATCGTTTGCGGCAGTAGTTCAAATCAGCGAACATCAATTGCAGCGAAAATTTGTCCAGGATGCGACAAATGACCTTGGTGTTCTTGATATTGTAGTTCGTCAGCCTGAAAGACAAAAAATCCTCTGCAAATGGCGGATCCAATGACTTTGCAAAATTGAAATTGATGACGAGTCCACCCACGACGATGAACGAGAGAAAATTTTCCCACCCCTAACCGTTCGGCGGTACGATTCTTACCGGTAAGGCATCGGCACAACCTCGTAGGCCTTGCACTGTTGCAGAAATTTCGTTTTTCCTTCGAAGCTCACGAGCTCCCAGCGGTTCTTCAAGTACGAGTCGAGCAGGGTCCTTCCCTTCTTATCGTATTTCTCGGTCACGGTGTCTTTGAGAGTCTTCATGGGCGAAGCGTCCTTGCTTGACCTGGAACAGGTCGAGGGTGACGATGCAGAATATCGAGAAGAAAAAAAACGGTTCACTCCGAACCTCTTCCGGCTTGATTCTTATTATCCCACAAGGGACGCCACCATTTCAGACCAATCCAGTAAGACGAATTCCCAGAGGAAGATTTTGCGCATCGTTAATCCACCCATCATGAGTAGCATCATCCTGCCCATCTACTCACTCAGTCACTGAGGAGACTTCGGATACGTGACGATGCCGAGGACTCCTTCGGTGTGGTCTCGATGACATCTCCGAATCATTCCGGCGTCTCTGTGGACGTTTCCGACTATGTTCTGAAGGAGAATATATGATCACTCGACACTGTTCCTCTGTAAATAAATTCCTGGTCCTCGTCGGCGGAAAAGCCTTCGAGCATTGCTCGCAGTTTATAAGATAATCATGCAGAGATACGCGGTAAAGTGGGCACAGGCGTCCGAATCCTAGGAGGAGACTCACCCTTCACGCTGGGTTGCTCTCGAGGAATCGTGCGAGGAGCCCATGGTCTCCTACGCTTCGCAAACTTCGGGCTTTGGGGTTCCGATTTGACGGGAGCAGAATCCGTCTTGTCCTTCAAGCTGAGGTCTTCGAGAATTTGAGTAGCCGTCTCGACAGTCATTGTCAATGGTTGTGAATGACACGCCGTTTAACTTGCAAAACTTCTTTTCACGAAAGAGACCGATGTGACCTTCGACTTCGTTTTTATACCGCAGCTCGGTCGCGCCCTCTAGGCGAAATGTCGCGGAATTCAACATGCACGTTGCTTCCCGCGGGTCAGCTTCGCGACATGTCCCGCTTCGGATCGATTATTACTGACCCTTCTTAGGAAGGAAATACCACGATTCGGACTTCGGAAGAATCTCGCACTTGGTTCCGGACGTTTCGGAAACTCGAATTTGGGCGGTAAACCTTCCTGTAATGGGAAAGTCCATGTCCTAGCTGGACGTCGAAACCCGAGATCATTCCTGTAGAGCTCTCGGTCCGAGCCATTAGATCCTCTGGAGATAAAAAAAAATGAAAGAGACCCCGGTGTAGAACGAATTTCTTTATATCTCACAACGTCAGTCGTCTCTTCCATTCACCGTTCACAATTTACAAGAGGATGCGCTCTCACGCTTGACCTTTCTGATCGATATCCGCTCCAGGAGCCTCAGGGTTCGAGGCGAGAGCCACACTTTGTGCTCGAGCGAATTCATCAACAACTGATCTTCTTTGTCGGCATGACTCCCGTCGAGGTACGTACTCGCGAGAATGAAGTACAGGTCATCGCACTCGAAACCACATTCAGACAACATATAAACGTATTGTTCGAGATCGGTGATTCTCTGCTCCTGGGCCAATCTTCTCCCCACCACAGATAGCTCGTGACGGAGGCTAGACTTGGGAACGGCGAGGAGCACTTCTCGAGCTTTGGCTGAATCTTTCTCGAGCATGTACGCGGCTGCTAGATGTGGTTGATGGCGGTGGACCCTTCCCACCATCTCGGACAAGCTGTCGATCTGTGCTTGATCACCACTAGATATGAGCTTCCGATAAACCTCAATCAATTGGGGGATCGCTTCATGGCGTTCGAGCGAGAACTTGAAGAATTCTAACATTCGGTCTGGCTCACGCTCGATGACGTATTTCATAATTGGTTCCAAGGCGGCTTGCATGTGCGTACCGGGGCGGATCACTTCCGTACTTATGTACATGACGGCGTCCAAGCCCTCATGTCGCAGGGTGGCTTGCAGAAGGCAAGTAAATACATCCTTCATGCTCTGAAGAGGAGTCTGTAACTTTTGTGCGTTTAGCAATTTGCAGGCCTCCTGATACCGATCGGATTCGATCATGAGCGTCGCAACGTTCAGAACTAACCGGCTCGGCAGAATGAAGCCCGGTCGTTGATTGAGGATATCTAGATAATGCATCGCGCGCCCAGGTTCCCGCTCCGCTACGTAAAACTTGATCAGCGCGATAAGATCCGACGTACTGAGTGAGCACACGCTGAGCGCGGCCAGCAGCTCGCTCACCTGCTCCACATCAGAGTTCGCACAAGCTCGTCTCAAGCGCTCCAAATCGGACTCGAGATTCTTCGGTGTCGATGTCGTCAGCCATTTGTTCCGAGGTTGAGAATAAGTCAGTTCTGAACCCGAACCGCTCGCCTCCTCAGGATTGAGCTCGGGTCCTCGCTGTCGAGGAACGTCGGCACGCTCCGAGTTTTCTCCAGATATCTGACTCATCAAATCTTCGGCCGATATTGGATTTGTGGATTCCCCATCTTCCGTAACGCGCTTGATTGCATCCCTCCAAATCGAGCCTCCGATCAGTCGGAATAGTCTTTGACAATCCTTGTATCGTTTGTTGGACAGGAAATAATAAGCTACAGTTCTTTCTACAAGATCTCGGGGGATGTCGAATCTTCTCAATCCAATGAGAACTTCGGATGTATACATGATCTCTACTTTCTGCAGAAAGTACGTCAGAGTAGTTTCAGATATCGGCACTTTCCACAGGATCTGTTTTTCGAGGACAGCATAGGCTTCATCGTTGTTCCTGGCTCGACACAACGCCGGATATAAATAGTGCTCCCGTATTGGATCACCTCGCTCGTAATGGACGGCAAGGAATCCCATGAGTTGTGAAAAATCTCCTGAGTTGTACGCAGAATATAAGGCGGCCGATATGCTCTTGTCTATCAGAGGCCTAGACTGAAAACTTCGACAGAATTCCAGCACGTTTTCCGTTGGGTATCTGCACCTGACCATTTCGGCACTGAAGAATCGAATATCCTCCCCCTTCGGTTGCAGAACCTTGTCGAAGAACAGGCGAGCCGACTCCATCTTTCTCGTATGGATCAGCTCACAGCACCGAGTTCTCGCCAGTTTTAAGTCCACGGGCATCTTCGAAATCCGATCGCATAGCTCATGAATTAGGTCGATGTCGGAAGTCGATTGTAGAATGCTCATGAGCTCGGCGGAAGATAATTTACCCTTGTCCAAGACTTCTAGGACTTCATTGGTGCCTGCACCGCATTCAGCGAGCCCTCCTGCGAGAACGCAGTTAGTTGTGGAGTCTGGATGGGTGCCAGCCACTACCATCGACCTCAGAACCTTCCGGGCCTCGCCGCGATTCCCGGACCTCAGGTGACCTTTGATGAGAGCGTTGAAGACTGGTATCGACATGTCTCCGCCCTTGAGATTGCGAGAGATCTCAAGAGCGCGATCGACTTCGCCGAATTCGCAGAGGTTTTCAATGAAACCTATATACGTGTTCCGGTCCGGGGTGAGTCGAAGCTCTCGAAGTTCTCCCATGTCCGCTCGAATGCCATTGCGAGTTCTTGCCTGCAAACTCCAGAATTAATTTCCCCTCAGGAAGCGTTCGAGAGATTCTGTCCGTGGTCCACGGAGATAGTCAAATCATCAATTTGTAGAGTTCGCGAGAGTCATTTCATTCTCAATGGGACCAGGCTCGAATTCCGACCGGATGTGGAAGTTCCAGGGAAAGGGGGAAGAGGCGGCTTACATCAAGATACGCATTGTAGAGCGAAATGCCCGCAGTAGACTTATCTCTCATCGACCAGGCCTTGACCAACATTTCCTCGATATTTTCGGATCCGCTCGTTTTCGCCATGGATCCCATCGCTCCGAGAAGGATGGAGAGTTCCTCATTATCCAACGTCTTCACTGAAAATCCAGACCGCAGTTTAGAATAATTGCTGCGAGGTATCAGAGGCTCTAGTGCCCTCAGAAGAGCTGAACGATTCGCGCTCGCACCTGTGGAGAGACTCCGGATGCATCTCCCAACTTGGAGCGGATAAATTAGGATGTTCTCTGAAGATCCGAGAATTTTCGCGAGGAATCGAATCTCAGGCACTCGCTGCGCGTCATCTGGAGTCGCTCGGGACGTCGAATTCATCTCTTGTGCTTTTCGTGCGGCTGTTGTTTGACTGACGCGGCGGCGCCTGGAAAAGATTGGTATCTAAGAATCAGCGTCTGTCGTTTCCTCATAGCAGATCAAGGAAGAGTGAACAGGTACATTCTGCATCCCATTCAAGGAGATGAAGTTTTCCACGGGAGAGTTCATGTGGGAAGGAGAGAGAATCCGCGCATACCCCGTCGGTCGGATGGCCAGCGGCGGATCCGGGAACGGTCTCAATGCACATTTCCGTAGAGCCGGGAGCAGCCTGAGAGTCCTAAACATTTCCGACGGTCAGTGTGCCGCAATTGATGAACACTTTCCCCTCCCAGAGCAAGCCTGACTCCACATCGAATACTTCTCCTCCAGACGAGAATCGAATCCCGAGTCCGGAGAGGAAAGCACGGTGCTCGCAGACGGATTCACGACGACTCGCGAGCGGCGAGAAAGTAAACAACGACGACGACACCAGAGCAGGAACACAGAGGTTCGCGCGCGATCTCGCTGGAAGTCTCAGTAAAGATCACCAGCATAGACATTGATCTTCCTTCATCTTCTCGATTCGACGGTTGGCCTCCGAACGAATCAATTCCGCTTGGGTCGAACCCACGTGCAAATGCTAAGATATTTCCGTTATCTTCGGGTAACCTTTACTAAGGATTCAATGCCTTCAAGCGCGAATTAGCGCCTCCGGCGCCAGAGGCCATCTGTCTGCAATATTTGGACCAACCACCCTCTCCAGGTGGTGGTCTCTCCCTTTCCTCTCAGGCACAACTACACGGTTCTATTCGAATTCCCATTTCACCGATCGTCACTATCTCTTGAAAGTGTGATACAGGTCGCATGATCTCAGTGAGTTGCTCGGGAGTCCTTAGAAGCATACCACTGAGCTCAGAGGGTCTTCAGTAATCGAGTGCATGCCCCAACCGACATAACGGAAAATTCCCTGAGCTCTCACGCGCTTCGGGACGTACGTTCGTGCCCCGATTGCATATAGTCGGCTCCGTACTCCACCGCGGGCAGCTTGCGACTGTGACCCGGTAGGCGAAGAGACGGCATTCAAAGGAAGGGGGAAAGGAGGGAGGTCGCCAATCTATTGGTTTTCCCCCGCTCGCCGTCTTCCGAGTACGGTCGTGTTTTCGTGCGTGATACGGAGCAAACATTGACCACTTTCGCTCATGTGACGTTTGAATTCCTCGCATCCTGCTCGGTAAGTCGCTGCTCCAGGCTCCCTTCCAGACTTCGAGCTGCAGAACCGGAATCGCGGTCTCTCTACTCCTCAGCTACCACGTGCGCCGAAGCACATGTACTTGTTTCTCTTCTGAGCTCGACTCGAAACCGACGGGGTAGTCCCGTCGATGCCCATTCTCCGGTGGAACTAGATTCTATGTCCGTGATGCCACGTTCTGAACGTGATGCCGAGCAATAAAATGATATGACTCGGTGACGGCTTGACCGCAATGATAACCCGACACGCGACGGAGCGTAATCCCCCTAAGTATTGGATAAATGATGCATAGGAGAGTACTGCCTTCATACGGTCATCGAGAGCAGAGCCAAATCGTTTCTCGTCCCGATTGCCTCGTTTACTGCCGCGATCGGCTAATTTCGCTGGTGAGCCCATCTTCAGTTCGTAGGGCTTCGAGAAACCCGAGATATTACATTTGAAGGAGCAATACCATGTATTAATATTTTGTCGATTCGTCAAGATCCGAGCCGTCGAGCCATTTTCTTATTCTGGATTACCCCGAGTGGCATAGAAACTCCGTGCAGAGTCTCGCCTGGGAATATTCACTTTTTGGATCTTAGCAGAATTCCGGACGTGCTTAGCCGAGCGGCGTCCCGGTAAACTCGACCGGATAGTCATTTTCTGGCTGAGCCGTCAATGTCTCCTAGTGGCCTGAGTTGCTGACGCTCCGGATATCACGAGATATTCTCTTATTCTCTTATAGCCGACAGAAAGTATTTTTGTTGTATGCCACGATGCGGAAAATCAGACGTCGTTTCCGGTTGGGTGATCGCTGCGGTATCGGCTGACGGCGACTTCCTCTCAAATCTTCAGGAGCTTCCTTGATTCGAGTCAGGCCTTCCTCTCCAATCAGAGGGGAAGAATGTTTTCTCTTCGTCAGAAGATGCTTGCCGAAGAAGATTCTTTATCTTTCGCGGGGTACCTCCAGCCGGAGAAAGCGCCGACTTGCCGCTAAAATCGTTTAGAAATCCTTTACGAAATATTTTAGAGGTATACTCAATCTTCTCACAGAATGCGCCCTCTTCGACCTTCCTACGATTGTTTCAACGCTGACGTTCTCTCTCTCTATTCCAGCTATCACGATGGCGGATTGCTCCGAGTTCTTCCTGAAGAACAAGCCTTGTGCAGGGTTCGAAGAACGGTCCGATAAAATCAAGTATTTCTGTGATCATCACTTGGCGGAGGCCTCCAGAGTTGTGCTCGTCACCGCAGGAGGCACCACAGTTCCCTTGGAGCAGAAGACGGTCCGTTTCGTTGACAACTTCAGTCTCGGCAACAGAGGGGCGGCTAGCGCCGAATATTTTCTCCGAGCGGGCTACGCCGTTATTTTCATGCACCGACAGAACTCATTGGAGCCGTTTTCGCGGAACATCCACAGCAATGTCCTCGATCTATTCAGCACACGGAGCGGAGCCCTAGAAATCTCTGAGAACGTCCGTGGTCTCATTGAGAACCAAGTGAAGCGGTACGAAGCCGCTGTTGCTGAGAAAAAGCTACTGAAGGTCTCGTTCACTACTGTAGCAGATTATCTCTTCCTCTTGAGGGCCGCGGCGCAACATTTAGCTCCCTTGGGTGGACGTGCAATGCTCTACCTAGCAGCGGCGGTCAGCGACTTCTATGTTCACCCAGAGAAACTTTCCGAGCACAAAATCAGCTCCGACGCCCAGCTGTCCCTGACTTTTCATCTCGTGCCCAAGGTTCTGGGACCACTGGTTTTCCACTGGGTACCTCGAGCTTTCGTGATTTCCTTCAAACTGGAAACCGACGAAAGCATTCTACTGCAAAAAGCCCGTGGCGCGCTTGAAAGCTACAAACACCACTGGGTTATCGCGAACGAGCTGCACACGAGGAAAGAAAAAGTCACTCTAGTCGGTAAATCCGATTTCGAGAATATCCATATGACGCCTGAGGATCTCGCTGCAGGAATCGAAATCGAAGAGAGGATCGTCGACTGCCTCACCGAACTTCACGACGCTTTCGTGAAGAGCCAGAGTTCTGAAAGTACTTGAGCAGGAGGACTTCTTTTGAAGTTTTGCGATTGTGATTTATTAGATACAGGTTTCAGAGTACCTTTTTGAGAGTTTATATTTGCGTATTGAGTGCTCAACACAGTCTGAGAGACAGTCAAACCTCGATTCACGTTTTCTAACTATAAGAAGCTTGAAAATCGTTCCGTTGTTCAGCGGGCTGAAACGTTGGGAGTCATAGGAGAATCCTCAGAGGCCTTCTTCCGGGACTTGGGGAATCGGATCAAATTGACATCAGGGGATAAGAGAGCCGAGTATTTAAAATAGACGTTATTTCAAATTCTGAGTTACCAAAGTCTTGATCCTGCGACTCTTCGAGTTTCTCCAATCTCTCCAAGGAGACCCTGCGCTTCTTCCAGCGCAACGTCTGCCTCCTGGTGAGCGAAAAGTTCGTCGCGATCTGCTCACTCAACCCGGAACCCACCAGGTTTCTCCGAGGGCCAAGATTTCTGCCTCCAGAGAAGTCGGCGGATTGACATCTTCGACGGTGCTTGAGTCGCACTCGGACCTAATGTTCTCCAGGCTGCAGTCAGTGTTCCTTCGCTTACATGAGACAAAGCTCGCGTGATCACCCTGACACGATGGAGAATATTGGAGTGGTCTTTTCGGAAATTTTGGATGGTAAAATTCGTGTCCGAAGTGACTCCGAACAGGGCTTTGCTGTACAATTCTCCCAAGTGTGAGACAACCTGCTTGTCCATCAGTTGAATGATCGGGGTTGTACTCGGTCGTAGAAACTTGATGCTGATGAAGTCGAGCTTCTCGCACACGAGATCTTGCAACTCCGGGTCGTGTGCGGGCGCGCTGTCCACAATCCACAGACACCGCTTCGGCAATCCATGACCTCCGACGGAAGACCCCACACTCGGAGCGAAAGTTTCGCCTGACCACTCCTCGAAGATCCTCCTAGTGACCCATGCCTTCTCATTAAATTTCCACAGTACTCCAGAATTTCTTTCGCCGTCTTCCTTCTACTTGAAGACCCTTGGAAACTCCTAATGGTACACCTAGACGGGCTCACATCTGAATAGGCTACTGGAATTCTCACATCAGCAGCGTTAGCGCCGAATTCACTGCGAATGCTAGTGCGTTTTTTGAATCTGTCGAACCAACCGCGACTACCCCCGAAATCTCCTGTGTTCGAGGAACCTCCTTGAGCGCTTCCTTTCGAATTCCGATAGTTTTGCTGGGCTTTCGTTCAGAGCATCTCCCTGAAGACACTCTCATCCTTCAACTCCGTCTCATTCACCCACACCAGCAGAAGTTTTTCTGTCTCTCCGACCCTGGATGACTGATTCGCTGCAAGCGTGCTGACACCCTTGGCGAGTGTGACACTCCCGAGTTTTCCCTTGTCCTTGAGGATCGTGGTAACAGTCGGTTGGAGAGTTCGTAACGTGACGCCAGTTTCGTGAGACTCGGAGCTTCTTGATACTGCCCTCAGCTTCTTCTCGAAAGCTATCGACAGGCACTTCCGCTGGAATTTTTCTCCAACGGTCCGTGATCGGGGCATCCTTTCGGCGAGCATTCGAACGACTCCGACGCATCCACGACTCGAACTATGCAAAGCGTTGCATCCGGAAACGTGCTCGAGAGCGACAAGCCGTGCCCACTGCAGCGGATGGTAAGACGACTAATGCGGAAACACACACCTTTCAACCGCATTATTTTCGTGGCCGGGTCGCCGAGGAAACACCAGCTGCTCGTCGCGGGTCTTGCCTATAATCGGGTCTCGACGAGACCCCCGAAGACCGCGCTTCCTGCAAGAAAGGATTGTCAGCGGTTGTCTTTGACGAAGAGTGTCGTTTCGACCCGAAGGTATTCTCGCCGCTCGACGACGCCGACGCGAGCCGAGTTGTCCTGTCGAGAACGTTGCTCCTACGTTCTGGAGAAGTTCAAGTTATCACTAAGTTGGCTCACGCGCTAGAAAAGTGACATAGTTAGCACTTCCCAAAAGCTGCGCCTCCCATCATACCATCTAGAGCAGGGGTGCACAGCTTCACAAGCTCGGCGGGCCAGTTTGGGGGACTCGTGACCCCTGGCGGGCCGCAAAATTCTCTGGTGAGCCCCCGCCCTGCTCATGAAGGGGGATCGAGGACAGAGTATTTCTAGAAGATACTCTTTCCGAGAACGAATTATTGATTTAGGGTGTCCTATTCCCCGGAACTGTGTCGGGTCGATGTCGAAATAGAGGAGACCTAGGATTCACAAAAAAGCATGGAAGCCTGGCAGTATGGCGGCGAGCCACTCGAAAACATCCTAGGGGCCCGCTGTCCGCATGTTGTGCACCCCTGATCTAGAGTAGTCGTGGAGAGAATCAAATGCGGGAGCTCCTCCGATAATTCGGGCGAGGACGCAATAAAGGGGCGAGAGAGCTCAAAGCAAGAGGACTCTCTGTCATCGATCAGCTCGAAGAGCTGCTAGAATGCGGATGTCGGCGTTGTCTACAGAAAAAAATAATCTCGAAGACTGCCCGTACCTTGCCGGCTCGAGAGAAGTCCGGATTCTCACTCAGCTGTTGAGCTTTGCCAATCCTGGAAGTCTCGCTGAGCTCGTCCGCGGGGTAGCCAGAGAAATTCGAGCTCCGACGGGATCCGTCCGGGGAAGCTCGGATGCGCGTGTCAATACGGAGTCAGGTTTACCTTCCCCAGGGGACTCCGGAAAATATCTCTCCACCCGGTGGAGTTCGCCGCGCTTGTCACTTCGTAGACTTGACGTTCGGAAAGTCCCGGGTCTTCGCCTTCGGGACTGTCGTGGGTCCCGCCATTGACATCCCTCCTTCCGAGAGACAGAAGAACGCTGAAATCCCGCGTGTTCTCGGAGCGAATCCCTGTCTTGCGAGCGTCATTCATCCGTGCCACGCTCCGACACTGAGGGGTCTTCACAGC